TGATTTGGGGTATTTTGGCGCCGGCGTCTGCGGCGTGGGGCCAAGAGTTTATGTGATATTCGTGCTCAGGAGGTCAAACTACCCTCAGGAGACAATTTTTTGGCAATTCCGTCAACGGAGAAACAAGTCGTTCAAAAACAGGCCAGATTTCGGATGATTGCGGCACTAAAGGGTAAATAGTGCCGCTCGTCCTCCATAGTTGGCGGCGCAGAGAAAGTTCCACACAACTTCTATTTTCTATAGTCGAAGTTTGCAGCTGTTTCGTGGTGACCTCCCGCCTTTCCCTTCCCCATCGGCTTTAGGGGAAAACTAGAACGTTTTTCTGGGCAACTAGTTAAAACATAGTTGTGTTTTGGAAAAACGTAAAGAAAATGATAGGTAACATGAAGGAAGGTCGCAGCAGACGTCTGCTTTAAATCGAGCGCCTTTCGTGGATTCGCGCTCAGAATAAAAACGGAACAAACAAATAGTAAAACGAGAGGCAGCGCTCGTACAGTACGTGCCGAGTCCATGTTGGCTGCAATCATGCGCGCGGTCGTGCAGCGTCATGTTTTGACGCGAGAGAATGCTATGCATATTGACATTCAACTCATTGCGATTTTCATGGCATGATGCGGGCGGAACAAGTTCCCAATTCGAAATATTAAAAAATTCTGAAACCTCGAGCGATCTAACTTTGGAGTTTCCAAGTATATTCATTTTCACGTTCCTACTTCACGGTCGCACTTCTGCTTCGAAAGAAAACGGCTGCGATTTATTGGTTTTGATTTTAAGCATCGAAATAAAGGAGGACTCCTCACCCTATCGGCGTCCCTTCTCGGTGTAGAAGGGTTCAGATAGTAGTAGATGGGCAGCAGTGGTGCAGCGCCAAGGTTCACCATCTGTAGGCAGTTATCGTAGCTGAATCCATTCACGAAGTTTCGCAGTATTTGAAGTGCTTGAGCTGGACGCGATTTTGGCACGAAGTGACCTGCGCCCTAAAATATAGTAAAATTATAATTTTCTCCAAATTTACAGCTCAGAAGTGAAGTAAATCTCCATGGAAAAGAACTGGATTCATAGAAGTATTAGGTGGCCCGCCCACTGGGCAAACTCCACCCCTTGCCGTCGAACTCAGGCTGTTGACGCTCCGAGTAAAGTGCATAAGCATGCGCTCTTAAATGGGGCTACGTTCCTCGGGAATATTGTGAAACTCTAATTTTGAGAGATCCTCAAGAGAAATGAGCGCGGTCCGGCTTGGTGAGGGCGTTTTACAAGTTTCCATCGATCACGCTGATGCTCCGTATGAAGACCTGCAAATTTCTGTGAAGCTATGCAATAGCAGGAACATCGTTTAGGCAGCGTTCAGACCTGCCGCGCTTGAACGCGAGCCAATCTTCTTTATGTTTTTTCTTAAGGTATCCATCCCCTTTTCCATGGATTCCCATTCCTACCTGATTCTACCCAATGCACTCGGACCACTGCAAGACATTAAACATAAATAGCAACCCTGATACTGAATAATTAAGATCGAAATCGGTGTAAAAAAATCATTATCATTGTGTCCTGTATCAAAAACTATATTTAAATTCGATGTCAAAACGAAAAAGAGGTGCTTAATCAGGTAGAAGTGAGAAACCGTGCAAAAGGGGTTGAATACCGGAAGAAAGCTCATAAAGGGTAGCTGAGATCTGGTACAATTGGGGCGCGCTTGTAATTATAGCGTGTTCAAGCGCGACAAGTTTGAACGTTGCCTCTACACTTGACGAAAGTCTGAACGTTTCACCACGACGAAACTGTAGTTTACAGGAAATAGCAAAGGGAGCTAGAAACGGTGCGGAACGCCTCCCCTCTCAAACCGAACAGCGGCGAAAATGTATATTTATCTGGCTATTGTTAGTCAATATGAACAGGTTCCAAGCAAACATATGTACGATTGGACGACCATTTACTACTGCGACCCAACGGCTGGCATGGAAAGGATAAAAGAGTAGAGCTCCCATCGTTGTTCAAAACTTTGCACGGAACGGGACTCGGTAGCGCATCCCACCTTAATTCAAGTCTAACAAGGTTTCCAATGCTATTCGGCTTGTGTAACAACTTGTTGGTACGACGACCTCCACCCCCTCCCTCCGGCCCTCTGTTCCTCCCAGGGCACATCATTGGTTGGAGATTTTGGTCGAGTCTGTACGACCCCCCCCCTTTTTTTGGGAGTTGGTACGACCCCTCCTCCGCTCGACGACTCGATTCGGTGAGGAAGGACAGAGGGCTGGGGGGGGGTCGTACCAACTCCCAAAAAAAGGGGGGGGTCGTACCAACTCCCAAAAAAAGGGGGGGGTCGTACAGACTCGACTAAGGCTCTCCTACAACGCCATAAGCTAAATACGACTCCCCCCTCCCAAAAAAAAAAAAATGACCAAGTACGACCCCTCCCCTTTACAAGGTCCCATGAAGCGAGAAAAATCAATTGTCAAAGTAAATTTTTCCCAACCCAAATACGACCCCCCCCCTCCCTATTGGGAATTCCCCAACAACGATGTGCCCTGGTCCTTCCTCATCAAATCGAGCTGTCGGTATATAGTACGCATGAAACAGGAAAATCACGAAAAGTCAACCACCACTCTAGAAAGGCCAGAAAGTAAATACGACCCCCCCTCCTCCCCCTCCCAACAATGAGCAAGTACGACCCCCTTTTTTACAACGTCCGTGAAGCGAGAAAAATCTATCAAAATAAATTTTTCTCAGCCCAAATACGACCCCCCTCTCCTGGCGGCCAAATACGACCCCCCCCCCGTTGGGGATTCCCCGACAACGATGTGCTCTGAGCCGGTTGGTGTGCAGGCGCCGCGCCGAAACTCTTGCTGCGACTGACTTCTGTGATAATAACTTTGACTACTCTTATTAATTTCCTATTTTCAACGTACCCTGACGGATAGAACGTCAATGTTTCCTGAATAAGTGGTCCGTAGGCCGCCTTCCGTGTCCATGTATACGCTACGATTATAGTTGGCTCGCCATGTATCCTCTCTTGTCACCTTGAATGTTCCAATACGAACGACATTTGTGTATCAGTTTAGGGTGTATCGATTTTACTCGCCTGCCTCACCGCTCACCTTGAGCAGTTTCACACAACGCATGCGAGAAGACTGATACCCAGGCGCGCAAAATCAATACTGACTGAGAAGCCGAAGGATATGCATAGTAACGACTTACTGTTAGGTTTTGAGTGCTGGCGAATCTGCGCATGAAGTTCTGCGCACTCAGGAAATTATTGACCGTGTCCAGATCTCCGTTATAGAATACAATCTGAACATATCTTTGCTCTCTGAAAACTTTGACAGAAGAAAGGGTGAAAGGGGGAGGGGTCCAATGAGGGTGAAGGATTAAGTCGAGCTCTAGAACCTCCCATTCTATCGAGTCAACGAACATCTCCATTCCTTCCGGGAAGAAAAGATATGATCCGCTTCCGGCGGATTATTTTATATACTAGATTATATAGACGTTTCATTTCGGCTGTGGGGCGTAACTCTTTCCCACCGCTAGCCCTGATGACGTTGCCGCATCCCATGCTCTCCGCGGACTGTGTCTGTACAATCACAGATCCCAACTAAGGTGCAATTTTTGCCCAGGTGAGTCCACCAGATAATGAATAGTTTTGAGATACTTGATACATGAGTCGCGGCACGAGCAATGGCGGGCCAATTGCTGCCATAGTAACCAAGTGTTAGGTTTCAAGGGCCAAATCTACCCTAAATTGTATGGCTGGTTGAATTCCACCCACGGTTTGGTTCTGACCCATTCCACTCCTAGCTCATTTCGCCTAGTCCTCTCCACCGGCGCCAAACGACCTGGACGAGTAAACCTTGAAAATTCACATACCGACATATTACGGCTCTTGTATACATTATGATTAATAACGTTCGATAGGTCCAAAGTTAAATCTGTAGTCATTTGTCCATACGGATCATGCCTGAATTAAGTAAGCATTAAAAAACTTCGCGACCGCGTGCATCCTCAGCAGGTTAGAGGCACATTTCGCGACAAGTTAACTAAAATCACCTTACTTCCACATGGCGGTGTTGCCCTCTCTATCATACTGGAAGAAAGGGTGCATTTATAAGGAAAGCAAACGGGTTACCAGTCTCCGCCCACCTCATTACCGTGGAATGTGCCTTCAACCTACGGAAAAAAATTCAACGGAACAACAGTTAGAGAATAAACTCACCAGCAACTCCGGAACAATTGAAATCGAGCATGAAGAGCTTCTTGAACTACAACATTATTCAAATAAGACATAACACTGTTATCAGCTCTGCATGGATAGCCGTTCCACGGATCCGATGAGCCATAATTCGAGGGGGTTACCTAAAAAGGTAATTGCTGTGAAAGAAGAAGTGTACGAAACCTGTGTACGGTCAGAGCTCGTCCTCGACCAAGAGCGAAATTCAAAGGTTGAAATCAGTAGCCCCGTTGCGTCACGAAACATGCCGAAAAGACGGTGCCAACTCCCTCTTCAAGAGATGAGTCAAAGATTTGGATGTGCCAAAGCGATCCTTAGAACTTGGTTGCACACACCAGGTGGTTATTAATGAAATATTAGGCTGAAAAGAAAGCCTGTCAGTGTTTTTTGGGAAGCTTACAGTTTTTGATTCTTGATGCTCGAACATCACGTAACATGCTATGCTTGTAGAACATTCTGGGAGCTTTCCTGCAAGAGGTGTGTGAGGGCGCCTGCTCTTCCCTGGGTTTAATAATATCATTTCACACGAGCCTTTTCGGGTCATCACCTATCGGTGACCCCGCGGCACTGGAGCCACAACAACTGTCCGCTACTGCATTGGTGGAAGACAGCGCTACCATCATGGCCGTCCACCTTTGGTTCGCTCGCCTCGAAAGGAGACACGATCTTCGAAGACAAACCTTGGTTGGGACGGCCCCACGGAGTGGAAGATTCCACCATTCTCGAAGCAGTCAAGGAGGATCCGGAGGCTACCACCCGCAGTCTTGCGACAAGACTCGGATGTACCTAACTGACAGTCGTCAACCGCCTGTAAGCCCTTGACTACCGAAAAGTACTGGCTCGATGGATCACTCATGCCTTGACCGATGGCACGCTGTGCACCCGGGTACCCCTTGGTCAGTCTCCCCTTTCCGCCCTCGTAAAGGAGTTTCTAGGAGACTGCTTAGTGGAGATGAGAGATGGGTCCTCTGTGATTTCAACCCACACAGTACCGTGTGTCTCTCTCAAGGAGAAGATCCATTCTAGCAGTCCAAACCGGGCATGTATTCCGGGAGGTTCTCCTAAGATGCTCCTGGGACGTGAGGGAAATGCTGCACAACGAGCTGCCCGTACGAGGACATCCGTCACCGCTACAATTCGCGACGCTCAGCTCCAGAAACCTGTGGAAACTGTTGGAAACTGTTGGAGAAAAATGAACGAGACTTAAGCGAGCCTTGCTCCTCAATTATTTGGTAGGTCTTGATACGCCGTGGAGATATACCGAATAATTGAGGAAAAAGGCTGAGAGACCAGATCCCACTCATCATATTCTCCTGACGTAAGTCCCTACGATGCTACCTGCTCCGCCTCCTTAAGGGGTTCTTTGCTAAGAAAACTTGCAGCAACTTTGATGACATCAGTCGAGAGGCTGGACTCACTCTACTCGCAGCCTCCTCAGTTTCGGGAGAGGGGAAATGGTTAACTGCCCATTTGGTGGAGCACTGTAGTGGCTAACAATGACGAGTATATTGTTGACTGCTTCCCATTGTATGTTGAGTTAGAAGATAAAAAATGCAAAAAGTCACAGCAAACTTTCTTTCCAATCTATTAAGTCTAGCAAGCAAGTTAACTCGGAAGGTGCCATTCTTTAATGAAATTGAGTTGCTTCATGCCACACCCGACTGCACTCTCGACCGGAACAGTATCGTTTGTCTATGTCACTTTTGTCCCAAAATGACTTGGCTAGGTCATGCGCAGTGGATCTTATCGGGCACACTGTGCTTATTGCGCCTGCCATTTACGCCCTGCTCCATAATGTCTTATAAAAGAGGAAGTATCCGAAGAAGGCACCATGGTGGCCATGACTCTACCTCCCCCCCCACTACCAGCATGGCATGAGATCCAGAATGTTTCAGCTTGCCTTATTCCTTTAGAAATGCACCCCTTCACTCAATCAGCGCCAGTTTGACGCTCTAGGAGTTCTCAGCAGAAGGCGTCTGGCACTCGAATTGTCTTACTCGTGCCGACAAATCCCGCCGAAACGGAAGCCACGCCCAAGTCCGTAGGGCTCAAAACGTTATTCATCGGGCGTTTCAACAAATCGCGGGGGCAGGGAAGGGTGAGCAGAGAGAGGAGAGGCTGGGTCATGACTATTCTTTGGTCGTATGCTTCCATTGGGCTGCATGGGAAGGAATTTGGAACAACATTGTCTCATCCAGTAGAAGCACATCACACTCGCAGCTCATCGACCCTCTTCCCAGTCTCCCTAAGGACATAAATCATCCTACAGGGGAACCTGGAACATCAGGTCAACATGATGGGGCCAATTCTTTCCTCTATAAAGATCACACGGAATTGTTTATGTCCCGGGGAATCATAACCGACATACATATGAACTTTCGCTGAAAAGTCTCAACAGAAACCACTTTTCTCAAATTTGATGTATTGCTGTGACAAGCAAGCCCGCCGTTGCAAGCAAGCTTGATCTTTCCACAGGAACGAACTGACCTCAAGTCCCATAGCGAGTGCCACTCTTTCAAGCCGATAGATGTTACGGTAACAGTCCTGGTACATGTCATACGAAAAGACCCTGAAACAAAGAATGCTTTCCAGACAGAAACTCCGCGATCAGCGGATGAGCGGAGTCTTGCAACATTGCTCCTTCATTTGCTTCCCCTCCTTCGGGTTGTATTGGAAGCAGGGAAGCACCAGTGAGAGAAGAGTGCAGTGACTGCGAAGCTCTGCTCATTTCTCTTTCTTAATCTTCAAGAAACGAACGCGTTATCGATCCATCCAGAAACCGCAGCTCTGGCCTTATTTTGGCAGGTTGGATCGGGGCTGTTGTAGAAATCGCAAGACATGGTTGATTGATTCTGGCAGCAAGATGCTCGAAGATCGTCCCATTGGCTGTAAAACAGGAATTTGAAGATTTACACTTCAAAGAGGTTCCAATTTATAGAACTTGGTGCGTGCGATTTTTAAAATGAATATTCTCATGCAATGTAATAGCAAAGGCTGTGTGCCTCTATTCTGGACTTGAGGACACATTCCGCAACTAGCTGACATGTGGGTACTTCCCGCTTACAAGGCGCATTTTGTCTCCACCCACTGCCGTGAATGGCCGCCCACTGCCGGATTGTTCCACGCCTCCAATGGCTGTACTGCCATGCGCCCTCTCATGATGTGTTTGGTGCTGTCACCGTCTCTCTTCGCCTCTGCTTTTCGTGTACTCGTTGAACTGACCCAAAACGGCCTCATGGCATTTTTGCCGGTTCCTTCTGCTTGTTTCCTCTGTTTAGTTGGACCCCACTTCCGGACAGGTGGTGCAGTACATAGGAACAAGTGGTGACGTCTAACAGGAACAGCGGGCCCGACGGCGACGCTAAGGTTAAGGAGGAGAGTTGTACCTTACTTCGAGCGGCCTCAATCGCGCATAGGCCTCAATCGCGCATCGTGCCTTTGAGAACAGTTCGCGAAAAAGAAAAGAATCTATCTCTTAAATAGAGAGAGCAAGAGTAGAGCCTGAGGCAGCAATCATCATGAAGTTAGGCCTGGCAGGCACTCATACGAAGGTGTAAAGCGACACATAGCAGTCACGGCGAAATACGCGGAGACGCGCGCAGCATCTGCACCAGACACGACGCGTCATCCTCCTGAGGAAATTTTCGCTGAATGTGCCCCCTCCAAATTCACGCTCTGACAACTCCCCTTCTCCCATCGTCCATAATACGAACCATCTTCCTTAACTTCCCCCTTCTTACCGACTTTCACTTTTCCTGAGTTCTTTTCTCCGGAAATTCTTCCTTTTCCTTGCAAAGAACTGCAGTGGAGCCTCCATCCCTCGGGACCCAACCCACTCAAATGGCAGCGAGGCTATGCCTCAACTCTATCTCCCGAGTCAACTCGTACTGCAATGCCGCGACTTTGAAGTGACAACTGACGCTCCACCCACCTCCCCCTGCCCGGCCCTAACGCTGCCGCCCACGGCTTTGATGTGAACACAGCCTGGAACTTCTGGGGAGGAATGGGTTCAGAACACGGAGTCCTCACCGATACTTTGAGAAGAAAGAATTATTTGAATAAAAAAATTATTCACTCTTTTCCTGCAAATCCGTGAGTGTAGGCTATCGGTAATATGGTGTTGAACTCCGTCTGAGCGCTCAGCATACCATTTTCGAATATGAGACCCTGAAATTCGCGAAATATCGCAACTTTTCTCACAGAACTCACAACAGAATCACTTATAGTGAAACACTCATTGCCCTGCTCACAAATATAACCTTCTTTCTTCAGTGGCGGCAGTATTTGGCCCTACACTAAGGAATGCCAAATCGCAACAGTCCCAGCCGACAGGGGAGCACCAAACGTCTACCTTGTCGCTGCTCTTCTAGCAAAGACAATACCCAGGGGTTAGGCTTGCACTGATTTAAAGACTGGAGGAGGTTAATCCTGTAGGCGTGGCAGTTCTATTAGATCAAGGGGCTTTGTATGGGGGACTCCAGCCATTCCCTATGATGCGTTCGTGTGAAGTCACTGTTTCTCCTGAGATCGATTCCCCCCTGTGGCTCCTGGG